CTTTGTAAAAATTTCAATTGAATTTCAATAAAGTTAAAGGCATGGCCTCACCGTTAATATTTAAAAAAAAAAAAAAAAGTTAAATTGATTACAATACTAAGTAAACTTTTACAAGTAACATTATGATTAAACGTGCCCTGGTTTTTATTTTATCGTGCAAAAAATTTTTAATAATAAATGCTACATCTAATCTCCGATTATGACAAAAATGATCTGCAAAAATTAACCAATCACAGAGAAAGCCCGCTATGCTTACGAGGGTTGGTGGGTAAATACGGAAGCGAAGGTTCAAAAAACTGACCTTTTTAACTTCTGGCCTATAATTAAATACATAGATGGTCGCTCTTACGAAAATTCGTCTTGTAATAAATTTTAAATATATGATAATTCCCAATCATGATTGGTTGATTTTGGGGTTGAAATGATATGAACTTCATAATGTTTATGCAGATGCATCAAAAAGAAACTATTTTGGGGGTCCTTAAAGCCGGGTTAAAAAAAAGTTACGTTTTTGATGTATTTTGACTTACCTTTTTGATATAGTTAGGTTTAGTTGGTTATTTAGATATCAAGAATACAATTTATGCAGTATATGCAGTATGTGGATTAATATATGAAATCTGCCCCGCTTTAAGGGATCCCTATTTTGGCAATAACGTAATTTTTATATCACCTTGCGTACGCTCTGGACAATTTTATGTATAGGCACTTGATAAAGTTCATAGTCTTACAATAAAAGAAATGGCAAATATCTCGTAAAAACGTTCGCCACTTAAGTAATTTATGGGTTATAATTTTGGAGAACCAACCAATCAAATAGTATTTTGCTTATTATTAATCTTCAAAGATATTGATTTTTAGATCGTATCTTTTATGAAAATGCGTAAAAAAAAAAAGAAGTTGTATTGCTTTAATATTAGCATCTTTCAAGAACATGATATGAGCACTTTCTACTAGCAATAAATTATGAATAAATCTTATTAGTAAATTTACATTGTACCTTTTTTATGAATATCAAATTTTGAGCCTACAAAATTATCTAAATTACAGTTAACACAATTTGTCCAAATTGGTCAATTTTGATAGTTGCATTTCTGAATAAATTCCACATAAAAAAATATTCTTATTATAATTTGTTTATATTTAGTCTTCCCATTTAGTTTATAATAATGATGGATTACAATGTTGAAAAGAAATGATTTTAATCAACGCTTACATAGATGATTATGCAATGCGGTTTATGAGTTTTACGGCATTCAGATGCTATACCATAATTAATTCTATCATGAACTGCAATGTTGTAATTCAGTAATTTTTAACGCCAACACTCTTTGGGTAATCCTGAACCTTTGAATAAACATTAAACGAGACATCCCAAGGCTCTGGACATTGAAAATTTATAACAATATTGGGTTGCGCTACCTAAGTCAAGTCCTGAAGGTTATTATAACGAGTTCTGTATGTTAAAGCAAGATTATACATCACAATTTTGTCCGTAAAAATTAATGACTATTTAACAAGTTAAATCCGAATTTTATAAAATAAACCTTATTCCAAACTCTACGCAACTTAAACTTTTGTAAATGAAAATATTAAAAAAAAATTTTTTTCCTCGTGTCTTTCTAACCTTATTCTTATAGCAAACCCAAACCCAACAAACAGCACGAGAATTTTTATTCTTAAATAAAGTGCGAAACGTTTTAAACTGAAGATGCCAGACATTCATTTTTCACTTAATAAACGACTGTGGTTTCATTAATATAAATTTTGCGCAATTTTGGCCTTAGGTGAAATGTTGTTTTTCGACTGCAGTCAATCGATCATGGTCATGAATCAATAATTTATAAACGATCTTATTAATTCATAAGTTTAATTAATAAATTCGATGGTGAAAATAGACGTTACCTTAAATAAAATAATAAAACTTATCTAAAGATTTTACCTTTGAACAAGATCGCTATTATTTAAACATCACTTTTTTTTAGAGTGTCAGATTTGTTTGAATCTTGACTTTCAATCCGTTTGATAATATTTTCAAAGAACTATGATTAATAACATATGAAAAATCAATTCAATATTATTGCCAATAATAATAATAATAATAATAATAATAATAATAATAATTAAATCTAGCACCAAAAGAGAACTACATACAATTCTGCGGTTAATGCGCCAAAAATTCTTGATCAATTTAATTCTATCTTTTGATAATTCAACACCCAAACCTTTTAAATCTTGAGAATTCATTTTCAAAATTTCATCAAATTTTTTATTTTTAAATAATGGAGCTAATCGTTTCATTCTAATTAAGTCTAAGTATGCAGGAAAGTCTAAATAAGTAATAAAGATGGTTTGATTGTAAATAATTATACCAAATTAATTCAACATCTATAATTTATAATTTACATACCTTCTAAAACTTCTTTTCCATATAGTTGTTTCCAATCCCTGAGAAAATTTTTTTGCGGTATAGGTAATCCAAACTTTATTGCCTAAAAAATCAGAAATAATATTACAATCGATTTACGCCTTTGTTATTGTCAAAATTTAAAAGAGTCCTGAAAGTATAATTTTAAAATATACTAAAAGAGTTAATTAAATTAAACTAAAAATTTACATGGTCAACTTGAATAACCCAAAAATGCGATCCTAATGTTGATCTTGTGAAATGATCAGTAATCCCCAACTTTTCTAAATCCTCATCATTCATTTTTATAATATCTTGCCATTTCTTTCCTTTAAAATAATGTGCAAGGTTTTGCATATGTAATCCTTTAAGCCATTTTGGAAAATCTAAAATTAAATAAAAAGGTAATTATAAAAAAAAAGGTATTATATTGTATTTGTATTTAATTTTTTTTTATAGAAATACCTTCTAATAATTCATAATTAACACGATTGTATATATTTTCTTTTTGAAATTTGATTCTATTATCAATAATTTTTTCGGCTGAAATAATATTTATATGATGTTCTCGTTGTTTATTCGATTCATCATTACTGTTGAATGTATTTTTAATGATACTTTTGGTCGCGAGATTTCGATTAGAACTAACTATTAATTATTTAATTGTTAATTGGTTATCTACGTTATTTACTTACGAATTGACTAATAGTTTAACAATTAAACATAGACTTACCGCAGTTAATATTTAAATTTATTGCGACTCTTAATGACAAGGCGAGAGGAAATGATGCCATCTATATTTCCTTTTTCACTAACACTAAGATTATCATTAGATGTTTTTTTATGCAGATTCGTGTAACCCAAGTCACGGATCAATTATGCGTATGTACATAAACTTTTTTTTGAAATGAAAGCTACTCGTAGTTATGTATAAATAAATTTGAAATATAGATTTCCTGTATATTTGCATCGTTTCCGTCGTGAAATGACAGTGGTTAGCGAAGTACTTGTTAAGTTGTCGTATAGTTATTAATCGTTTGTCCCACGATCTTGTCATCTCTATTTCTCATTCCGTTAAACGTTACTTTGGTAAAGTAAGTGGTTTTATTATTATTTTTGTTAAAGTTTATAGGTGAAATATGTGAACTATATTAACTTATTAATTACTTATTTATTTTGTTCATATTATCATGAACTTAAAATATTATTCTTTATTTATCATTTTTACAGTCGGTATTTATAGATAGCTCATGACAAAAAAATGTATATAAACAAAAGTCTAGTGTATTCTATTGGTCATAATCTGAATTATATATTACCATGGATTTAAAGAAAGATAACAAGGCGAGTTTAATTTACTTGCTGGGATCATAAGTTTTTTTTTTTAAGCCTTGTTCGAAACCTATGCAGGCATTCTATAATTGATGACTTGCCGTAAGGCCGGACATAAAACAATCAAACATCTTTGCGAATTTCAATTTAGCGGAGATAATGGTCTAGTTAATTGATCAATAATTCTTAGAGTTAGAGTTTTTTTGGTTAAGGCGTAGACCGACAATATTATTTCAGGATAAAATCTCATTTCCTTATTTTTTACATTTTAATATATTTAGGTACTTTGCGAATTTATTCTCTGAATATTTTCGGAAAAAAAGAAAAAAGAATGCTTTGTTGCTTGAGCTTTGATTGGTTAAAGTTACTTATCAAAGGCGGATTTTCTACAAAAGCTAGATCAAAACTGCATTTTGCATTGCTCAGGCAATGCAAAATTTGCTAAAAATTTTTAAGGATTTGAATTTTAAGCGAGGATTGATGCAAACATTTTCTAGATACACATCTTTTTTTTTTTTTTGAAAATAATACTTAGGAATTTACCAACCTGTTTCAGATGAAGAATTGTTGCTCTCAATAAAATTTTCATATATATTATTATTAATATCACCGATCAGAAAATAATGCAGGTAAGTTTATACTCTATTCATTTTTCTAGAGTAGGGATGTGTAGTAATTGTTACGGCTCATGACGTAACAAATTAAAGTTTATGCCATAACTAGCTACAGCATAAAACGTAACAGTTTCTACTGCATTTCTAGTCTAGAGACTAACTTCATGGGCAAAATTTATCGGTTGTTATGGTGATATGGAATTTTATTTAGATTCTTTTCTATATTTCTGAAATTTTAGTCTAATTTATACCTGCCGGTCAAATCCTAAGCAATTACTATTAAAATATATTGTTACTGGCAGATCGGTCGGAATACACATACACACACAACAAAGAAATGCGACGAATTGTCGCTAGAGAACGGGGTATGTCGCGTAACGTTCCTCAACGTTTTAGAGGCGGAACGATTTGGCAGTGGTCTAAGATGATAGTTGAGGAGCGTTACGAAGAAGGTTTGGATAGGATAAGTGAATGGGTCCTGAAAGAACGTTTTAGTCCTTTATTATTTCTTTGGAGAAGGAAATAAAGGAACTTTATTTTATTATTTTTTTAATTCGTAGGGCGGGGAAAGGCACACATCCCTTTGTTCAAGCGAAAATGCATCCTTTTTATAAGGATTTTACAGAGAAGCAAGAACATTTTCGAAAATTTAGCTATTACGCTAACACAGTATACCTATTATCTCAAGCTCTTTTTCCTCTTTTAACTAACTCTTTTACTTTCACAGCCTCTAGTTCCCTAACCTTCATCTTCATCAATCGGGTCCATGCAGATCGCTTTACCATTTTGGGTCTGCCAACGGAGCGATTACGGCAACGATCCCATGCAGCGTTGATTCGGGGCTTCACTATTCCTCCATTTTAGGCAGTTCTTCGAGACCCGGGAGGTACAGGTTTGCCGTTAACAATTTCAGAATTTATATTCCATATAATTAAAGATTATTGGTTTGTCCAGTGCTTGGTATTTAAGCGTGAACAAGTCAAAACTACAATAATTTGGTATTTTAGTGGCATATATAATCTAATCGACTCAAGGACACTATTTAGTTAAATTTTACTTATATAGCTAAAGATTTTTAAAAATGGTTTATCTAAATTGCATCATTCTAATAAAAAGCGAATAAATAAATGCAGCAAAATTATAAAAATGAAATGAGTGGTTTGATAGGTCTTATCAGAAGCAATTATTATGATTCTTTTATTTATGAGTAAAAATTTGTAATTGTATTGAATGATTTATTATAATTGGTTTACATTCTGCAAGCAATATTCTGCTAGTGAAAATAATATTATTCAGCTTACGACTGAATACAGTATTTAAAATAAAATAAAGTTTATATTTTAAAGCCAAAATCAGATTTAACATTAAGTACAGGTTGATCACCTCACATGTGTAGTAAAGTTGATAATGATATTAAAAATAATTGACAACTCTTTGAATCATTTTAAATAGAGTAATAGTGATATATCAAATTTTGAGTAAAATTTTCTACTTTCTCAAGTATATAAATTACTTTTACCATTTTTGCTGATAGAACAAGAAATTGCCAACACTGCACATGATGAATAAAGAAAACTAATCTGAGAAAAATCCACTCATCAAACTTTCGTTCATGCACTCGTTCTCTACCAAGCGATTATCATTTGCTTTATCAGTTGACCATTTGATCAATGTAGGAATTTTTTCAAGTTCAATTCTGTGATGAATCTTAAACGGACTATTTGCATATCTTTTTGAAATATTAGAATTAAAAAAAAAGAAAAGAATAATTGAATTCAATCAAAAGGAATCGTATCATACTCTGCTCTTGTACCAACAGAAGCCTCAACAAGCACAGAATCAGATTTTTTGTTGTTGAAATATTTCTGGATTATAGGGGTAGCATTTATACAATCAGGACACCAATCTCCTATAGACACATATTGATTTAATTTTTAATTTATAATTACGCTTTTAACAATGTTTTTGGATTTTTAAATTTAGTTGTATATACTGTAAAAAGATATATACAAAAGAATTTTTAGGAAGGATTTTTTAAAAATGGAATTTTCTTTTAAAATTTTTAAAATTTAATTATTATGAGCTTAATCAATTAAATTTTATTAATAGAACTCAAGACTTTTTATTGCAGCGTAAACTTTTTATTATTTATATTTAAAGTCCCGGTAATTTACTGTAGGCATATGTATAAGCTTGAAGAAAAAAAATCCTCCTCACCATAAAATAACACATAAATGGTTTTCTTTTCGTATTCCTTTACGATATTATTGATTTCTTCATCGAAATTGTTAGGATTTGAAATTGTAATTTTTTGTTCCATCGCAGTTTTTGTCTATCGCTTACAATAATGTCTGATCTACACAAGCTTGCCTTTATCATGAACATGTCACATTCCTATTGGTCAGAGGTCCGGGTATACTTATAGGCCAGGAACGTAGCGTAACGATGTGAATGGTTCAATTCGAGTTTCATATTCCCTTTTAAATAAAAGAATAGTGATGGATCGGTCTGATTTACAGCTGTTTCATAAATTTTGAAAAATCTGGCAAAAATTGACCGCCGAATATTTACCGATTCGATGAGTTTGGTATTATGATGTTTTTCATCCGAATCAAAAGTTTATTACTGCCGTATTACATCGTAAAGTCAAAATTTTATTATCAAATATTTATGTGCTAATTAATGTTGCTCTGGAGATTCCAAAATTTTTACTTACAATCGGATAACTTTTTATTAACAATTTATTGTCAATTACAATAATGTGAACTAATTTTTTTCGCATAATCATATCATGTAAATATGTAGCTATTTGATTTGGTGAAGTTTTAGAATAGATGTACTTGATCTTCCGAAAAACTTTTAATGCATGAATACAAATTTACATAACAAAAATTTTGTCTTTACTATATAAAGAGTATTAGTAACCTCAAAATTGAATGAATGTAGTCTTTAAGTATTTCGTATTGTATATAGCAAACAATCAGTAGTTAGTGTTGATGACGAAGATCATAACAATAAAGCATACACATGCTTGATTATATTTACTCGAGAATTTATGAAATCTTGAAAAGCTATGCAAAAAAATATGGATGATAAAATGTTAGTTAGCCAGAATAAGTAACACTCGTAAAATAAGAATCTCAATCAATGTGTGTATTGGTTCTATGTAACATAATAGCAAAAAAAAAAAAAAAACTGTAGTTAAGATCCATGGCAAAAGTATGAAATGCCTCCTTTTTACGGATTTGGGCCAGGTCAAAATCCAGAAGATATTAAATTCCGATGCCTTAAATTCTAAAAGATAAAAATTCTTGAAAGATCATAATCCTGAAAAATTACGATCCTGAAAGATCATATTACTGGAAGGTAATTGTGATCTTTAAAGGCAATAATCTTCCGGGATTATGACTTTTCAGGATTAGAGGCTTTTGGTATTGACTTTTCGGATTATGATCTTGCAGGGTTATGATCTTTCAAGATTTAGCTTTCAGGTTATTATATTTCTGGATTCTGATATTTCAGAATTTAGTGTATCGGAATTAAGTATCTTCAGAATATTGATCCACCCTAGTAGTTATAAGGCCGAAGCAAAAAGAAAAAAAGATAGTTTAATGTAGGGATCTGCAACCCGGGCTCGTGCCTATGCCCAACAAAAATTCAGGTATGGGCATGGACATGAAAGCTTTGGCATGGGCATAAATGCTAATATAAAAA